TTTTAATAAAATGTAAATTCGTTCCCAGCACTTTTCTCAGGCAAGTGTGTTCACATAGAGGTTTTCAAGGGTCAGTATGAATAAATCTAGATTTAAATGCAAAGAGACAAGATAGTTTATGCATGACCTGCCGTTTTATTCATTTCCAACACGAGGCGATGTGAACATTATGGAGCGCTAAACAGACTCGTGCAGTGTATGTTTAATTCATACTCGAAGCCGGAGGGCGCTCTCACGCAGAAAGACTAAAACTGACTATATAGCATTAGCTGCATCTCGTTTCAGAGGCTGCATCCTCCGGAGGTCACATTTGTTGGTTGCATATGCCATTAAGGGGTCTCATTTAAGAAAAGTAACGGTAATAAAATTGACTCTTGTTCCATGTGAGGTGTAAAATACTATAATTTCTTGAGACCACCTCAATGACGATTGTGGATGAAAAATGCGACTTCCAGAGGACACGGCTTCCAAAAAGAGACACAGCTATATAAGTAACTTGTGACATGCCAGGAAATCCCTAAAATGGACAAAGGCATCCAGCTATAACTGTAGCTAAGGTGAATAAAAAGGTTTTGACTGATGAAATGTGAATAAATACACGATTGTGACAATATATGGTTTATGTATGTTTTTATGTCATCTCCAGGTAATAAAGTAAATGAATAATGCGGTGCTAATTGTCGTAGTATTTATTACAGTATAGAAACTGTTCTGCCTTATTCTGTGATTAAAAATGGGGGGGGAAAGTGTTTGCAGTATATAAACCAACCATAAAACTGTCATTAGGAAAATATAGGAAACATATTAGAGGATACAAATGATTGGTTATTGTCCAGCAGTGTATTTGATTTCTCAGCCAATTAAAAGTAAGAGATAAACAAAAATAAAACCTCAATTAGACAAAAATCATCTGAAATGATGACTACAGCATTAACTGCATTCATTGTGCTCAGAACACGTCCTTTAATTCATAAACACTGCACAATTACTTTATTTGTATAGAGAAAACTGACTGGAGGACTTTAAAAAATGAGGTAAGTCTCACAAACTCACAAAGTGTGGAGTGGATATGAGAAATATGGCTGATGCTTATTTACTAAAAAGGGAAGCATTTACATGAACACACACACATTGGACTTATTTGATACACTGCTGTAATTACAAGTTATTCATGTACTTCATAAGCCTAGTCCAGACTGCTTATACTGCAATTTGGAAAAATTTTCATTTTGTCCATTAATTTTTGGACAAAAAATAACGAGTGTTTAGATGAAAGAAAACAATTCAGATAAACATGCAAAACTTTGGTTGGGTTTAACTGGATCACGTCCCCTGCATGCACTGTCCCTGCTCTCTCTCTCTCTGCTGGCATCTCTTAATACTGGCAATTCTCTAAATACATGCAATCAAATGCACCACCACTAATGAATTAGTTAGAAATACATTTCATGCATGCTCCTCTGAGAGTTTACATTTAGTTATTCTGTCACTTAATTTTCCTGCATATATGTTGTTTGTATGAAATAGAGGGGAAATCAGATATACAGCAGTATTTTATATTATATGTGATACATAACGTGACTTTTTTTGTTACTTCCAGTCCCAGCTGATCCCTGACTTTGTGTTACTTGAAGAAAAAAATTAATTACAGCATGTTTCAGATAACGGTTGCATTAACGGTCATGAGTGTTTACAGGCTATATGTGTTTTACAGCACTGAGTTACAGAGATGCATGTGTGAAATGTTCACCAGTGGGTGAGCAGTGATGTGTGTGTGTGTGTGTGTGTGTGTAGCTGAGGGCCTGTCAGAGGAGGCAAAGAGCAGACTGATCACAGAGCTGCTGAGCTTTTGAAGTCTCTCAGGGACTGACAGCTCTTCAACCCCATGAGCGCACACACACAAACACACACACACACACACACACAATGTGAACCAAGAATGATGGCATAAAGCAGCATGCAAATGAAAGCAGAGAGAGTAAATACAGGAAATGGCACCCACTCCTGCTTCACAAACACTCTCTGTTTTACTCCATTTTTTCTCCTTCACTTCATCCACTCCATTAATACATTGTTTTTAATTATTTTGTTTCTTTTCACTGGATGTGATATTCACCCTTTCATAACCCTTTGGGAACAGACGGTGATAATGACACTGGAAGAAACTACAACTTCTGGCAAAGAAGCTGCAGTTTGTAATTCAATTTGAAACTTAAGACTGTTCACATTTATTCAATTCAATTCTGGAACAAATGTAACATTTAACATTAATTTAGGTGTGAAGATCCATTAGGCAGACGTGATAATCCAGTCAGTTATTCATGTTAACACTGAGGTTCATTTGTTATGAATGAAGCATTATTAAAATGTTCTGTTTTCATATGAACACACATTGTAAACACAGATGCACAAACCCATAAACATCATACTGACAGAGCTGGACAGTAACTGATCACATCTGGATTACGTAATCAGATTCCAAAAACCAAGTATTACAGTGTATTACATTTTATAATGCTTATAATAAGATTACAGTTATTTTTTTTATGGATTACATGATAAATCATTCCTAATTTAATGATTCTACCTAATTCTTATTTTTTTCTCTTTTAAATTGTCCTTTCTAATAATCCTACTGTCACACCATTTAGCTTTGACTATATTCACAATATGGAATAGTCATGTAAATGTCACGTAAATACATTTATGATTTAATTAATAACTAGCGTTTTATCAATTCACAAACCCACTGCAGTTCTTACATTAAGCCCAGTTTGGGAAAACCTGGTTTAATGTAATGTTCAATGCACTTCATGATGTTGATATCAAAAACAACAACAAAAAAAGAGGAATATATTTTCATTCTCTGTTGGTTTTTTTTTATTTTATTTTTTTTATATATCAATATGGTATATGGATTAAAAAAGTAATCTAAAAGTGATCTAAAAAGTAGTCAGAATACATCACCTGAAACAAGTAACCTAGATAACATTACTAGCTACAGTTTTCATCGTGTAATCTTTAATCAGTAATGGACTGCAATTTGTAAATAATCGACCCAGCTCTGTATACTGACATGTATCTCAAAAACGCATCATTTCCCTTTCCTTTGAAAATGATAAAACACACGTCAGGAAAGTGACACCAGTGTCTGTATTTCTGTCGTTCTTAACGTTTATCCCATCTGACATCTATTACAGTTAGTGCCAGTGTGTTGAATCCATCCTCATAAATCCAGCATTTGACATCAGTGTCATTAGTCATATGACATAATAAAAATATAAACTGTAAAACTGAGTAAAGGTATGAGCGCACACACATCTGTTTGACACACAATCCTGCAGCGTCTGCTTTATCAGGTGGTAATAGTGTGATGTAAACTGCTCTGAACAAATAGCATGGGATTTTAAGAATAAAGCCCAATCTGTAATGAGCCTAATTTACATCGAAGGGGGGCGTGTTTGCATGGAAACGAATGTCAATGATTTAATTTACATACTGAAGGAGCTGTTTACACCTGCTTACACTAGCTTGTGGATGATTACTGAATGAGACGCAGAGTTTATGCTGGATAACTTTAATAATAATTCTCCCCTCAGTGTTCAGGGTCTTCTGTGGCTTCGGTGGCTCGAGTGGAGATGAAATGAGTGTATATGCTGGTGTCCGTCATATTCATGTGTGGAGACTGACCTGTACCAGACAGTACTGATGAGATGAAAACAGGTTTAATGATGAAAAACTACAAGAAGGCCTATGTATTGCAGACTGAGCTTTTCACACTGGGCTGTGTCTGAGATCGGTTTGGTAATCACCAATACTGTTAGTTTCGGGCAGCTGTGACACAAACCTTACATTGGGTGCTGGTGGTCTAATAAATTAGCTAAGCACTGTATATATATATATATATATATATATATATATATACCACATCACAGCTGCCTCTGATACACTGCACTGGCATCATCTGCTTTCATTGTAACTCATTGAATCTGTGGAGGGCACAGAGACGACCTCAACAGAGAGCAAGTTTTCCCAAGCGGGACCGTAATGGAACTGCCGCGGATTCATTGGAAAGTTACAGAAACATCAATGCGGAGTTAAATTAACACATTCCCTTCTGGGATTAATTAAACTTGGCATAAAATGCCATTCAAATTATTTAATGGAGCTAACTGATCTTCTGAAAGCCAGACGCTGGTAAGTGGACGCTAGTCACCTAGATAGTCACCAACTACGCTTAATGCTTGGCCTATGAATATTAATAGATTACATAGGCGGATGTTCCAGGAAGGTTACCTAACAACGTCACCAAATTAATATTCATGAGTCCATGTCATGATTTCATAACCAGCTCTGCTTCAAAACTCACCTATTGAATGTTAGGTGTATTAAGGCGCTGTTCTAGAGAAAAGAGATTTGGAGTAGTTTGCATTATGAAAATCCCAGTATAAATAAAAGGACAATATTTATTTCTGAACAATGAGAAAGAGCAGGGTCTTTGATTTTTATAAATTCTCTCACTGTAAATAATCATCAGCCCCGAACAAAATCCTGCAGCTCTTCAACGAGTATAAGATAAGATATGCTGAGAAACTGCAGTGTCAATAAAATTCCTTGTTGAATAATACATCCTCAATATCCATTTGTTTTCTCGACTCAAGCATAAGGTCTGGATTATGTGCATGTTTCTGTCTTCTTTACCCGCTCTAACCTCTTTCCTACCAAACAAACCCACTTCTAAGAAAATAAAAGCCAATGTCCACATTACACAAGCTCTCTTAGCACACACATAGAGGAGAATATCAGAGCAAGCTCTCAAACAATGCTCCAGTCCATCAGTTCTGCTCTTATCTGACACATGATGTGCAGTACATTCACTCTCCTACAAACCCTGTAATGTCTGCCCAGAATACGCGAGTGGACTCAGCCCAGGTGATGAGTATTCATTGATATAATTAGATTTTTCTCTTAATCTAATTTTAGGCTCATTCGAGACTTACCGAAGCCAAAGGCAGGAGACGCAGGGATGGGAGACGACTGGACAGAAGTGGAGGTGTAGAGACCGGTGACCAGCAGCCCATCGAAGTAAGTACTGGTGGAGATCGTCACTGCAGACACACAGAGAGAGAGAGACAGAGGGTCAGAGATCCAGCAAAAAATACTCCGCAGTGATGACAAATTATCACAGTGAAGTTAATTGTGAGAGGCCTTTTGGAAAAGTGCTTTGGTACTCATAGTAAGAAAACAGTTAAATGGATTTTCCATCTAAAAGGTCTACTTCATTATTGTTTGAGGGGAAAATGCTCATGGTGCATGGGAAGAAATCTGTTCAAACTCAGTACAAGATGTGGTGAGCGCTGGATCTTATTTGGATCTCACAAAATCCCACATTAGGTCAAGCAAGCAGTGCCTCTCACAAAAATCAAGATGTGAGTAAATAACGTATGGTACAAAAATAAACCAAGCAAAATTACAAAATGAATTCGTTCTAAAGTACACAGTCCAACAGGCAGCAACAGCAGATGATGTTTGGGAAGAGGATGCGTCTCTGGGCTGACAGTGCTCTCTCTGAGGTCCTATAGCGTGGGGCGAGTGACAGGTGCAATGTCACATGAGAGAAGGCAATGCCGCAATCACAAAATGATTGGCTCATTAATCTGTCAGTGCGATACACCACCTATCATGCTCACAAATGGTCTGCAAATCCACATAAAAAGCATCAAATGGGAACAGAATATGATTTTATATTGGTTCCTCAAGTCCATCACTCACTACTCAGTCAATTACAATTTCAATTAAGCACAGATTTTTAACCGCTACATACGGCACATACGCTGCCTTAGTAAATGCATGCATTGCTCCAAACGTGTTTCTCATCGATTTGTACAAACTGAGGAATGAGACAAAATTATTGTCTATAGTAATCAACAGGATGGCACAGATGTGGTCCAGAGACACTGAATGGAAAATAACCCAGAATCTGCTCGAAGAGAGCAGATGTGTGTCCAGGAGGCGAACGCAACACCTCACCAGCACAGACGGCAGCCATCAAAATGACATGATCGCATGGTGAAGATGTCACTGAACACTGTGAGAAAATACACTTTAAAAGAGTGTGAGATTGACAGAGAAGAGGGGAGAGACAGACTAGACTACCTTGACATTCTGAGTCTGTAGTAAACATACAACAGCAAATGTAACCAAGACCAAAAAAATGCTGCTTAGTCAATATAATTAAAATGAAAAAGAGCTAATGAAACACCATTCTTGAAGATTTTCACAACTTCGTTTCATTGCATGCTTTTGTTTCTTTTGGCATTATAATGTAGCATTGCTGAAACTGGGCAGAGTGTTTTTTATCCTTGGCTTGGGAGAGTGAATGTTGAGGTTATGTGTTATTTTAATTATGTGTGTTTTTCAGCAACATGACAAAAGAGCAGACGTGTTTGTGTTGAATGCTCTGTTATGCTGGAGTTGCTTTAGGTTGAAGAGTGGAGCTCGTGCTTCGGTTGAAGATGCATACATGGCCGCTGTCCACATCTCAATTCATTTCAGTTTTTGAGCGCAGTAAAAGCTCTTCGTTCAGTTAAAAGACTGAGTACTTCATGACTAGACTGGTAATTGTTGAGACAAGCATTTTTTTCTGACAAGAAACGTGGTTCAAAACCACAAGCCAACAGCAGATCCGCTCTGAAAGCCTGCTGCGGGTTTAACCAACTCTTTGACAAAATCCCAGACAGACAGATCACGAAATAGTCAAAGAAAATCATCATTGTTAATAATATTAGTTCTAGTTTGATTATTATTTTACAAAAACAAATTACTAGAGACTCTCGCTGTTTCTTTCTTTATGAGTACTCAAGGGAGAAGCGTGAGCACTCTGTGTGTGTAAGAGTGTGTGTAGTTTGTCTAGACGTGGATACACTCCGGATTAAAAACATATCCCTCGTTCCTGCCTCTCTCCCCCCATGCCAGCTTCAATAATTCATCCTCTTACTGCCAGTGTAATATCTAGTCCTCTCTCTCTCCATTTTTCCTTTTTTTTTTTTAACTACATCATTCCTTACCTCGCTTTCTAAATAAGTGCAACTCAGTATGTACGGATCAGGGTGATCGCTTTACATCCAATTCATTCACATTTATTAAGTCATGATATCAATGAGAGAAATACATTGTGGACATATTGTCAGCGCATGACAAATTCAGTCTTTTCTTCATGCAAAGCTATCGTACAGTTTCAGAAGACAGTGAATATAACGCACATAGTCGTATTGGCTGCATTTAAAGTGCTTTAATAGTATTTCTATCCTTTTTGGAGTTTAAAACAGCTTAAAACATTTATACAAATACAATGAGTAAATAACGAGGGAATTAATATTGGCAGAATTGTTATTTTTGAGTGAACTATTCCTTTAAACGTCAAGAAAATGCACATGCATGTTGACAAATCCAGAGCCCAAAAAGCGTTCGCTCTCCTCACACGAGGCACCTCGGGCTCAAAGCATCGCTCCCTCAAGAGCGCAGCGCTTTTCATGCAGGAGAAGCATTCGAAGGCGGGTGGGAGTGCAACGCGAGCGATTGGGCCAAGAGGTTATTATGAGCAACAAACAGCGCGGTGGAGGAAGGAGAAAACAGGGATGGAGGGACGTCTGGAGAGGCCCGTGAAAAAAAAATGAGTGATCGATGAAAATGAAAGACGTAAATAATTCAGAAATCCATCTGAAAGGGGAGCAGAAGTGGGGGAAGGGAGGAGAAAAGAGGAGAACCTGGTAAGAGTAACTCATAAAAACAGACGTATTCACCTGCGGGGGTTTACATGCGCACAAAGCTGCGCTTTGATGAGAACTCTTAACATTCACTCCACACCCGCACACACTCAAACTCTCCCGATGAGCAGTATTTGACTGTCTTTAGCAGAAAGAGAGATGACGTGCCGTTGGGAAAGAGAGAGGTGCAGCAGGTACGCCAACGCAACATAGTAAATGTCCTGAAACATGCCTGCCGTTCTCCAGTCTTTGGTGTGATCTCTTCCATCTAGTCTTGTCAATCCAGCCATTCTCTCTTTGTCTCTATACCGTCCTGCCCATCATGCAATATAGATGGTGCGATGAAGTACGCCTCATTACCAACACTCACCGCCACGCTCCTACTCAACTATTGATAAACCTTGGGCCTGGAAAGCATCTCTGGACTCGCTGGCTTTAACAGAAGGGGCTGCTTTCTGTTGTAGAAGAATACCAAACAGAAGACAAAGTGCAGGAACGACGTTTCTCGAACCGTTTTCTGAAAGAGGCTGTGAGCCACTGAGGTTCAGCAGGTTCAGGCATGGATGGCTCTATATGTGTGGTGCTGTCATCTGAACAGCACCTGGTGGCACGCTTAACGCCAGACGCAGGAGCAGAAGAGTGAAGCGAGAGCAGTTGGCAGGGCTGTGCATTACCTCACTCCTAGTTAACAGCATGGCAGTGGAACTAACGCCTGCCAGCGTGTGCAATGAATATCAAACCTTAATGTGCACGGGCATTCGTTTGCAACAGTCGCTCCTAGTCAAGCAATTTTATTTGTACAACATCTATATATAGCTACAGAGCAGCTACTCCAGTAAGCAAGGCAAAGAAGGCTGTTGAACAGAAGAAGAAAAACAACTCCACAAGCAAAGAACCTTGGGAGGAACCAGACTAGTGGATAGGATCAGAAACACAGATGAGATGAGATGAGAGTATGGAACCAGAGAGTTCTGGATGAAACCCGCTGGGGATTGGCCATATGAGCTCCTGATTCTGTATATCACAAACATAACCGTTATTCCAGCCTGTCACACCTGTGACCCCTCCACAGATTTAGGAAAATGACATTTCAGCCATAAAAGCCACAGTGCCATACTTCCACCTCTGTGTAGGTCAGAAGGTACAGGCGCTCGCAATATGAAAGAAACGTAACCCAGGAGCCATCTGAGCTGCATTTGACATCCCACTGGAAACCTGGTGTGCCCTTGAGAAGCCGGAAGCGGGGAGAGGCCACCAGCAGCGACTCGGGCCATCTGTTTCCCCGGCCGGGCCAGTCTCAGAGCCATCTCTCTGCCTCTCGGGCTGAATGCTGCTGAACCAGAGCGGTGCAGCTGAAGACACCGGGCTGCACCGTATCAATCAGCATCGGTGTGGAATGTGTGATGAGTTTACGTGTGTCAATGACAGCTGGATAGCACTTATCAAACTGTGATGATTCTCTTGCGTAACCCTGTAGCGCCTCTCTGCCCTGCTGGCCGCGCCATCTGCTGTTGCGAGGGCCTGTTGCTGTCAAACACGCTCGATCGCTCTAACAAACACTAACAGGTCGGCTTCCTGAGTAACAGCTTCTTTAATGATGCTCCTAACCTCTTAATAGATGCCAACCTCCCTTCACATTTGCTCCAAACACGAGTACAAACAAAACAGAATGAGGAAGTGATTGTGTCATTTTGATGTTTGCTATTCCATAAGGAAAGTCAAAAGCTTACAACATATGAAACAAGCTGCTTTTATAGAAAACCAGCTTCAGATTGCACAGCCTCTGATCTGGTTAATATCTAACTTGAGCAGAATTCTGCTTTGCACATGTGACACTAATGAGAACTACAATAACAACATTTCCTCGGACCATTTGACCCAAGATAGCTGAACTGAGCTAGAGAGGATTTTATTGGGTGAATAACCAAGGTTAGGCTTGTTATCAAATGGCTTGCAATAATATGTAAGCAGCGTATTCAGGCATCAAACTTGTTTTCCGTTTCTTCAACTCTTGATACACCACATAGCCAAAAGTAGATGGAAACTCCCTTCTAGTTTGGCTTTTCCAGTCATTTTGTAATCTTACACATTCAAGTGCTTCAGACTTTGTTTGTGGAGTTGGTTCTTTTCCATCATGTCAGTGCCCTTGTGCACAAAGCGAGCTCTATAAAGAAATGGTTTACTGAGTCTGGTGGGGAAGAACTGGCCTGCACAAAACCCAGACCAGAACCCCAACTGAAAAAGGATAGTCTGCCTTTTTGTTTCATTGGGGTTACAGCCGGACTCTGCTGGACATTCGTTGTCCAGGAACAGGGTCAGAGATCTCCAGCTTATAGGGACAC